TCCTACAGGCCTAGCTGCACCACTACTGGAATGTGGGGGGGGCGGGGTGCAGGGGGGGGAGCATTTAAATTTGGAGCAGAATCCACACCACACATTTAAAGCACATTGCTTCCTCCAGGAATCATGGGAACTGGTAGTTTGTTAAGGATGCTTGTAGCCTCTGTGAAGGGGGGAAAATCCCAGAATGCTTGGTGGGGAAGTCTTCTGCTTTAAATGTTGTGCTGTAAAGGTTCCCAAAACAAACAACCCCCTGTGTGGTTTTTGAACATGCTTTATAATCTATGGGTGTGATATCTGCCCTTTGTCGCAGGGGAATGCGAAAGCGGGAACCACGTCATCTGTTTCTTTCAAGATAAAGTATAGGAAATCTGGTATGATTTTCATCACAATCTCTCCCTATGGCACACCTCGCTCTGGCCCAGTAGATTTCCCTTTCACCAATACAGGCATACCCTTGGGATAGATGTGCTTCAATTTAAGTATTTTTGGGGTTGCGATCCGTGGGTTGACCCGAAGTAATGGAGCATTTACTTCTGGGTTTCGCTGCGCAGTGCATGCACAGTCAAAAATGACGTCACACGCATGCGGCAGAAGCAGCAAAAACGCGGCAAAACGCGGGTTGCGATTTGCATTACAGAAATGCGAACGGGGCTCCGGAACGGATCCTGTTCGCATCCCAAGGTACCACTGTACATTTCCTTAAGCACAATTAAGCTTTGGCCACTCTCTGAACGTTTCTACGGTTTGACTTCCTTGTCGGTCCTGTGCGTCAAGTGAAGCTGTAGCCTCGACAGAAACTTTCCCAGCAGTCTGAGCACCCCAAGTTGTTTCTGTGTCGTCTCTCGTGGCTCATACAAGCTGAGTTCAGTTTAAAGCTTTTGCCACAGTCCGAGCACTTAAAAGGTTTCTCTCCTGTGTGGATTCTCTCATGTGAAATGAGATGTGCTTTCTGGCTAAAGCCCTGGCCACAGACAGAGCATTTGTACGGTTTGTCCTTTGTGTGGATCCTCTTGTGTACAATAAGATGAGACATCTGGCTGAAACCTTTCGGGCAGTCTGGACATTTATACGGCCTTTCTCCTGTGTGGATTCTTTCATGTTTAATAAGGCTAGAGCTCAGACCAAAGCTTTTCCCACAATGCAAACATTTATGCAATTTCTCTCCTGTGTGGGTTTTCTGGTGCCTCCTGAGGTCAGGCCCCCGACGAAAGCTCTTCTCACAACTTGAACATTTGTAAGGTTTGATTCCTGTGTGGATTCCCCGGTGTGAAGCAAGGTGGGAGCTCCGATGGAAAGCTTTCCACAGTCCAAGCATTCATATGGTTTCTCTCTGCGGTGAGTTCTCCGATGTATATTAAGGTGGGAACGCTGGCTGAAGATTTTTCCACAGTCCGAACACTGATACGGCTTCATTCCCCGTGTGGGTTCTCTTATGCTTAAGAAGCAGTATACTCTGACTAAAAACTTTCCCACATTTAGGGCATGCTTTTTGCCTCCTGTCCTTGCAGATCTCCTTCTGGGCAGTGGTTTGACCAATGTCCCCACTGCCATCCTGAGGAGCAGTTGGTTTCTCCTGGCTGGTCTTTTGTGCAGCTTTCTGCTGCTTTTCTGATCTGTGCTGATGCCAAGTTGCAACTTTCCTATCATGACCCTGGAGCATTTTTTTCTTTGCACATTCTGAAAGAGGTGTCTTCTTTAGAATTTTCTGGCACCAGATTCTCCCCCAGAACTTCTCCCTTAGAACATCCAGTTTCCTTAGAATTTCTGGGAACTTGGTTTTTCTTCTGAACACCTCTCCTAGAATTCCCAATTTCCTTAGCATTTCTCAGCACTAGATTTTTCTTTGGAATGTCTCCCGTAGAATGCCCAATTTCCTTAGGATTTCCAGGAAATAGATTCTCTCTGAGAACATCTCCCCTAGAACACTCAATTTCCTTAGAATTTTCTGGCACCAGATTCTCCCTCAGAACATCCCCCCCAGAATTCCCAATTTCCTTAGAATTTCTCAACACTAGATTCTTCCTTTGAATATCTCTCCTAGAATAGTCAATTTCCTCAGAATTTCCAGGAACTTGATTTTTCCTCAGAACTTCTCCTCCAGAATGTCCAGTTTCCTTAGAATTTCTGGGGACTCGATTTTTCCTCAGAACGTCTCTCCTAGAATGTCCAATTTCCTTAGAATTTCTGGGAACTTGGTTTTTCCTCAGAACATCTCTCCTAGAATTCCCAATTTCCTTAGCATTTCTCAGCACTAGATTTTTCTTTGGAATGTCTCCCGAAAAATGCCCAATTTCCTTAGGATTTCCAGGAAATAGATTCTCTCTTAGAGCATCTCCCCTAGAACACTCAATTTCCTTAGAATTTTCTGGCACCAGATTCTCCCTCGGAACATCCCCCTAGAATTCCCAATTTCCTTAGAATTTCTCAGCACTAGATTCTTCCTTTGAATATTTCTCCTAGAATGGACAATTTCCTTAGAATTTCCAGGGACTTGATTTTTCCTCAGAACTTTTCTAGAATGTCCAGTTTCCTTGGAATTTCTGGGGACTCGATTTTTCCTCAGAACATCTCCCCTAGAACACTCAATTTCCTTAGAATTTTCTGGCACCAGATTCTCCCTCGGAACATCCCCCTAGAATTCCCAATTTCCTTAGCATTTCTCAGCACTAGATTCTTCCTTTGAATATCTCTCCTAGAATGGTCAATTTCCTTAGAATTTCTGGGAACTCGATTTTTCCTCAGAACTTCTCCTCTAGAACGTCCAGTTTCCTTAGAACTTCCAGGGACTTGATTTTTCCTCAGAACATCTCTCTCAGACTGCCCAATTTCCTTAGAACTTCCAGGGACTTGATTTTTCCTCCTAAGAATGTATTCCTTAGACTTTTCAACCACCTTAGGATTTCCTGGCACTACGTTCTTCCTTGCCTTTCTTACATTGCCTTTCTTAGGATTGTCATCTCCCTTAGCATTTTCCGCTGCTGGATTCTCCTCCTTTTTCTCCTGCCCATCTTGCACTGCAATAAAGAGAGGAAAGACAGGCCAGTGAATACCTGAAGGACTGCAGCAGTTCCACATATGAACCTGCCTGGACCCTGAGACAGTCAGCTGAGTGCCACTCAGAGAGGGATCTGGAGAGTGAGGACAACAGAACAGTTCTTCTCTATAGTAGCCCCTAGTCTATGGAATGCTCTCTCCTGGCATCAACTCTGCCATAGATTCTCTCAGCGGCTAGCCAATGGAAAGCCCACAATCAGGACCTGGGTGCAAAAGCACTCTCCTTAGTTGCAATTCCTAGCATTCAGAATTATACAGTCACAAATGCTGGAGACATATCCTAGCCACCTTTGCCAGTAGCCATTGACAGTGCTGGTCTGTCTTGGACTTCCCTTTCTCTCACCTGTTCTGGTGACTTCATGTTTGTTCCCTTTCTCAGAGCCCGGAGGGTGAAGACCCAGGGAGATCAACTCGTCCCCTTCCTCCACCCAGGAGTTTCGATCCGAATTGGTGAGGGAAAGAACTGGGCGCAAAAGTGAAATCAGAAAGAAGAAAAACTGTGTTGTTAATTCAACTTGAAATTTTTTCCCTGAACCATCCTAATAAAATTTAACAGCACGCCTTGAGTTGTTATTCCTGCATCATTTCGCTTTCTGACACTTTGACACGGCCAAATTGGATGGATTCCTCTATTCATGTCAGGATTTTCTAGAGGGTCAATAACTAAAATGATTTCGAAATTAGATGGTTGTTGGCTGATATACACACATTTGTTATTTATATGCACTGGCATTAAGAAGCTATAAGATACTTTTTTGAACCAAAAACAGTGCTGAGACTCCCAATGTGATTTTTTTTTTAATTTAACGTAAATGAATTGGAGTAAATTTAGAAGACAAATGGTTGTGTTCAACGCCACACAAGTTGCTAACACAATGGGACTTCTCTTTTCCCCACAAGTCCCCAAAATCTGCTCCAGAGAGTCCTCCAACCCTCTGGAGAAGATTTTGAGGGTACACTAGGCTTGCTGCAGGTGAGAGGAGGGGGAAGTTTGGTTGTGCAAACAGAGTTTCATTGTGCAAGTGGAATGACAGTGTTGGATACAAAAAAATGTTTATGTTTAACATATTCCTGTATTGTCTTGCTTGTTTTGTTATATTGGCAACTGGCTACAAATAAAGAAAATCTGAATCATAGACAATCAACACAGCCAAATCTAACCGAGCAGATTAATTTGACAATGCTAGGGGCCTGATCACATTTTTCTATGCTATAATGTTATTAAGCCAAATCAGAGTAAAGGCAGGGCTTCCTGTCCTCGCTCTGATTTGGCTTCATAATGCCACTGTGTAGCCAGAATGAATTTGTTCTTCTGCTACCTGTGTGATTTCTGATTGGCTGTGATTGCCTTCCCATGAAGCCCTTGTTTTAAAAAAGAAAAACATTATCAAAACTGCAGGTAGGCAAAGAAGCAGCTGTGTGAATAGAGAGCGAGGGGGATAAAAACATTTGGAAAGGGCAAGCACGGTCTCAAGGTATGGCCTGAAGGCACTTGTAAATAAACAAAACCATGCAAACTTTCTTGAATCCCATAACACCAGGAGGGGATCAACTGGGTTCAATGATGCACACACTCAAAATACAAGATAAAGAAATTCTTACCCAAAGAGGTCACATTTTCATAGTTCTCCTGCATGACATCCCTGTATAAGGCTCTCTGAGGGGGGTCCAGGAGAGCCCATTCACCCTCAGTGAAATGCACAGCTATCTCCTCGAACGACACAGGTTCCTGAAACACAAAAGACAGTCAACAAGGATGAAGGAACACAGGGCCACTTCTGCCTTGCTTGTTGACTCATGGCGCTCTTCCTTCCAATGACATGTGAAGCATCAATGAAGACGGCACCTCTGAACAGATGCAGAGGCCTTTCAGCTTGTGGTCAAGCAGAACACTATGTATCACAATCATATCATGGTTGCACCAGCTCCCATTTCATTACTGGTCCAAGTTCAAGGTGATGCTATTGATTCGTTGTTGTTGTTTAGTCTTCTCTTCTCATGAGGTGGCCAAAGTATTGGAGCCTCAGCTTCAGGATCTGTCCTTCCAGTGAGCACTCAGGGCTGATTTCCTTCAGAATGGAGAGGTTTGATTTTCTAGCAGTCCATGGGACTCTCAAGTCTCTCCTCCAGCACCATAATTCAAAAACGTCAATTTTATAAACTATTGGTTTATAAAACCTTAATGGCTCAGAACTAGGTAACTTAAGGGATTACCTTGTCCACTATGTGCGGAGCCTGGGAGTCATTTTGGACTCTCAGCTGTCCATGGAGGTGCAGGTCAATTCTGTGTCTAGGGCAGCTGTGTACCAGCTCTATCTGGTATGCAGGCTGAGACCCTACATGTCCGTGGACTGTCGCACAAGAGTGGTGCATGCTCTGGTTATCACCTGCTTCGACTACTGCAATACGCTCTATGTGGGGCTACCTTTGAAGGTGACCCGGAAACTACAATTAATCCAGAATGCGGCAGCTAGACTGGTGACTGGGAGTGGCTGCCTAGACCACATAACACCGGTCCTGAAAGACCTACATTGGCTCCCGGTACGTTTCCAAGCACAATTCAAAGTGCTGATGCTGACCTTTAAAGCCCTAAACGGCCTTGGCCCAGTATACCTGAAGGAGCATCTCCACCCCCATTGTTCAGTCCGGACACTGAGGTCCAGCTCTGAGGGCCTTCTGACAGTTCCCTCATTGCGAGAAGCGAAGTTACAGGGAAACAGGCAGAGGGCCTTCTCGGTAGTGGCGCCCGCCCTGTGGAACCCCCTCCCATCAGACGTCAAGGAAATAAACAACTGCTTGGCTTTTAGAAGACATCTGAACGCAGCACTATTTAGGGAAGTTTTAATGTTTGATGTTTTATTGCTTTTAAAGAATAATTATTAATAATGTTCTGCTGGGAGCCACCCAGGGTGGCTGGGAAAACCCAACCAGATGGGCCGGATATGAATAAATAAAATTATTATTGTTATTATTATTCCTTCCCCTGCTGCCATTCATGGAGGATAAGACAATCAATGGCTACTAGCCATGATGGCGATTGTCTGCTTCCATGGTCAAAGGTAGTAGATTTCTGAACACCAGCTGCTGGAAATTGCAAGGGAGCTATTGTGCTCAAGGTCTGCTTGGCGGCTTCCCATACTCAGCTGGTTGAGAACAGGACACGAGACCAGACATATTTGCAAATCCCTTTACCTGAACCAGCTCTATTTTTCCTCCACATCTTCTGTGAAGATGTAGAAATCTGGAGTAGAATGATGACCTTCCTTGGCACCCTGGGGAAAGAGAGGGTGACTTTTCAGATGTCTGTTGCACATCATTGTCTGTTCATTCGATTCCCTACTCAGCAATACACCCATTTCAATGGTCTCTCGAGGCAGCTTGCACAGACAGAGGAAAATGAAGCCCATTAAAACAGCAACATGAAACAGTACAATTAAAACATCATGGGGCAGAGGAGTTAGGAACCTTTACTGAGCAATCTTCCAAGGGCCAGAGGCAAAAGTGGGTGGAGCAACAAATGCAAATTTTTACCTTTGTACACCAATGTGGTTTCCACACACACACAACTCTCTCTTTCTTCCATCTGAGCAAACAAGAAACATTGAAGGGCACATTCCAGCCAGGCAAGAACTCCCAAGGAGGGTGCAAAGCCAGGTCGGTTAGGGGTATGGCTAGGAAAGAGTTCCAAGGGCTGGACAGCAAAGCCTGGACTGTTATGTTTGGTCTCTGGGGCCTGAGGTTCCCTACTGCTGCCATTGGGCAGGAAGAACCTAAAGGTAAAGGTAAAGGTACCCCTGCCCGTTCGGGCCAGTCTTGACAGACTCTAGGGTTGTGCGCTCATCTCACTCTATAGGCCGGGAGCCAGTGCTGTCCGCAGACACTTCCGGGTCACGTGGCCAGCGTGACAAAGCTGCATCTGGTGAGCCAGCGCAGCACACGGAACGCCGTTTACCTTCCCGCTGGTAAGCGGTCCCTATTTATCTACTTGCACCCGGAGGTGCTTTCGAACTGCTAGGTTGGCAGGCGCTGGGACCGAACAACGGGAGCGCACCCCGCCGCGGGGATTCGAACCGCTGACCATGGATCAGCAAGTCCTAGGTGCTGAGATTTTACCCACAGCGCCACCCGCGTCCCTAGGAAGAACCTAGCCAGCAGGAAATCCAGTTCATGAAATAGCAGAAACAAGTATCAAAAGAAATCCTATGGAATGGAGCTCCCCAAGGAGGTACAGTCCCCTGTGACCATTTCCCCAGCCTTTTCCCTCAGATACTAACTTTCTGTGTGCAGGGAGATTTTTTGATATTACGGAGCATTCTAGCTTGTGATTTCCCACCACCAATACCTTTGTTTGCAACTTGCACAGTCTCCAAAAAGATGTTCTACATGCTCGTCATAGCAAATTTTAAGAATATAATCAATCCCCTCAATGAACAATAGTCAATCACAAGCCAATGCAGAGCCATTGGCTTAACCCCTTATTCACTGACCCTTGGCAGATGCAATTTGATGTCATTTTAAAATCAAATTTCATTATGCATAATTGTTCTAAAGTGGCTGATTTTATTTTTGATTGCTCAATTTAAAGCGATCAGAATCCTGCTTGATTAAAAATCAAATGTACATTCAATAGCAACTGCTCACACTCATCCATTCCTACCCTTATTTCTCCTTCTCCCACTGTACTTTTGTCCAACGCTGATTTTCTATTGTAGGCTCCTTGAGGGCAGAGACCAGCCCACATTTATTCATCTTATTTATTTCATACAATTTATACACCGCTGGATTGTAAAAAACACCCTAACAACTTCAAAGCAATTTGCAAAAAGATAAAATAGTTGAAAAATCGACAGCCATACTTTAAAACACACGAAGTTAAAAATAGTAAAACAGATTAAAATTACCTCAACCTTCTAAGCATCTGGGAAGACTTGTCTAAACAGAAATGTTTTAGCAGGTACCAAAAGGTACCAGTTAAGGTACCTGCTTGATCTCAATAGGGAGCGAGTTCCGAGGAGCAGTTGCTGCCACACTAAACAATCAAGCTATTACAAATGCAGAATGTGTATTATGAGGAACCTCTATTCGTGCCATTCCCTCTAATGAAGTGGTTGAGTTGGTGCATGTGGGATAATGCAATCTCGTAGGTAGACTGGCTAGGTAGTAAAGGTAAAGGGACCCCTGACCATTAGGTCCAGTCATGGCCGACTCTGGGGTTGCGACGCTCATCTTGCTTTATTGGCCGAGGGAGCCGGCGTACAGCTTCCGGGTCATGTGGCCAGCATCACTAAGCAGCTTCTGGCGAACCAGAGCAGCGCACGGAAACGCCGTTTACCTTCCCACCAGAGCGGTACCTATTTATCTACTTGCACTTTGATGTGCTTTCGAACTGCTAGGTTGGCAGGAGCTGGGACCGAGCAACGGGAGCTCACCCCGTCGCGGGGATTCGAACCGCCGACCTTCTGATCGGCAAGTCCTAGGCTCTGTGGTTTAACCCACAGCGCCACCCGCGTCCCTACTGGCTAGGTAGGTAAGGGCTTTATACGCTAACAGTAACATCTTGAACTTGGCTCAGTAGCAAATCAGCAACCAGGGCAGATCTCTGAGCGCAGGTGACAAGGCAATCCTGTCAGCAATCGTGCTGCTTCAGCATCCTGCACTAACTGCAGCTTCTGGTGAAACCATGAGGAAAGCCCCACATAGAGCCCATTGCAGTAATCCAGTCCTGAAGTAACCAATGCTGGAACTACAGTGGCAAGGCTTTCCCACTCCAGGAATGGCCACAACTATCGAACCAGCCCCAGTAGCTAAATAATAATAATAATAATAATAATAATAATAATAATAATAATATTATTTTATTTATGCCCTGTCCTCCCCGGCCAGAACCGGGCTCAGGGCAGCTAACACCAACAAAATTACAATAAAACATAATAGGAAAGAAAAAAGGAAAAAACAAACAGTTAATGAAAATAGGGGTTAAAATATAATTTAAAATGCAGCCTCATTTTAGTAGTAGCCCATAAATCAAAACCATAAGGAGAGGAAAACATAAGGGTCAGACTGAGTCCAAACCAAAGGCCAGGTGGTACAACTCTGTCTTGCAGGCCCTGCGGAAAGATGTCAAGTCCCACAGGGCCCTGGTCTCTTGTGACAGAGCGTTCCACCAAGTCGTGGCCAGTACTGAAAAGGCCCTAGCCCTAGTTGAGACCAATCTAACCACCTTGCGGCTCGGGACCTCCAAAGTGTTGTTACTTGTGGACCTTAAGGTCCTCCGTGGGGCATACCAGGAGAGGTGGTCCCGTAGGTACGAGGGTCCTAGGCCGCATAGGGTTTTAAATGTTAAAATCAGCACCTTAAACCTGACCCTGTACTCCACCTGGAGCCAGTGCAGCTGGTAAAGCACTGGATGAATGTGATCCCGCGGCAAGGACCCCGTAAGGAGCCTTGCCGTGGCATTCTGCACCCGCTGGAGTTTCTGGGTCAGCTTCAAGGGCAGCCGCGCATAGAGCGAGTTACAATAATCAAGCCTGTGGCCAGATCAGGGCGAGAAATGTAAGGGACCAACTGCTTGATGCGGCGAAGGTGGAAAAATGGCACCTATCTTGGCATTTCTAGCTGCTAACGCTACCTGAGCCTCCAGTGGACAGAGCTGAATCCAGGTTGATTATGGAAGTCTGGAAGGTGCTATAAACACAGATAGCAGGCTGTTGGCATACATAACTATATATAGATTGGCTCTGAGGCTACTAAATTTATAATTTGAGGCTTAACACCCATCCAGGAATTTAAAAGCTGCCTCGTACAATCTCAAGACTAGATGGTCCTTCAAGCCTAGTACTGTCAAAATCTACAAGCCTTAGGCCATTTGGAGATATTTACGCTGCCTTACCAGATAAGAAAGATGGCTCTGCATCGTTCCCCAGCTCCAGCTGCAAAATCTCTGAGGAAAGAAAGAATGGGAAAGATAATAATCCCTTCCCCATGTTTGGTCCTAACCAATGGAACTTGCAACAAAATTTTGCAGGGTGGATTGCCCTTGTTTCGAGTTTCAGCTACGCCTTTTTCAGGATACTCCATTCCATTCCCGCTCCCCCAACAGCCAGCCAGCATTCAGAGGCCACTGAGCATGCTCTACAGTGGTACCTCAGGTTTCAAACACTTCGGATTACAGACTCCACTAACCCGGAAGTAGTATCTTGGGTTAAGAAAACTTCAAGATGAGAACAGAAATTGTGAAGCGGCAGCAGGAGGCCCCATTAGCTAAAGTGGTACCTCAGGTTAAGAACAGTTTCAGGTTAAGAATGGACCTCCAGAATGACTTAAGTTCTTAACCAGAGGCAGCACTGTATTTTCATTGGGCTGTTTTGGAAGATTCCGTCTTCCCCTTAGGGCTCTTTTTCTAATGGCAGCTTTACACTTCTACAAACCTTGGGGTCCCACAGATTGGCACTTAGAGAACTGCCAAAACCTTAAAGGGGGAGAGCAGGGAGACATATATTTACATAAGAGTCTGGCTAATTATTGTATGTGCAGTACTGGAGTGCATCTACACAGTGGGATCTCCTCTCAAATCCACATCGCTTAATCCAACATTAATGTCATTGTTCTTTACAGACGGTGCAATACAAATACTATTCTCAAGATGTTATATTCCGCTCATGCTTTCTGTAATTCTGAATCCTGTGACAGCCTTTCAGCAAGGCCATTCAAAAATCTGTAAACATTCGGTTCCCTGTTTGCACAGCCATAAGCCTACAAAATGCACGATGCAGTACAAGCGTAAGCAAAATGCACCTGTGCAAAAATATTTGAGGGCTACAACTGCAAACATCAAAAGTATGATCTCATGAGCAAAATCAGCAAAAATCCAAAAGTAGAGGCAGAATTACTTTGAGCCAAAAATGTGAATTTCAAGACAGAATTCCACCTGAAGATTTCAGACTCTCCAAGTGACCCTATTTTCCAGGGACATCCCTGATTTAGAAAAGCCATGCTGGTTTCTGAATGTCCCACTTTTCCTTAGGATGTCCCTATTTTCATTGGAAAAATGTTGGAGGGTGTGTTTTATTATGGTTTTATATATGTTGGAAGCTGCCCAGGGTGCTGAGGAAACACAATAATATGTGTGAGGTATAAATAGTGAAATTATCGTTATGGAATGGGACGTCCCTATTTTCATTGGAGAAATATTGGAAGGTATGAGATTTCATAATCCTTTTCTTGAATTAATACCCTGTGTGGATATCAACTCTTTTAATTCAGACTCCAGCAGGCTGACCTCACCTTTAAATGCCAGTAGAACCTCTTGCAAGACCATCCTCTTCTCTGAAAAATGCCTTATCCTCTGTTCCAGTTCCAGAAAACCGCTTTCAAACTCAGGAAATGCCCCATTCTTCCTGATGAAGAGACAGTAAGTGAATAATCGATCCCACTTACTGTTGTTGCAAAAGTTATCCTGATTTATTGTCATCTTGTAATTAGCAACTTCCTGGAGCTGAACCCCTAAACCCCTTAAACCCTATTTTTCCTATACTGCTTTCCCATACAATTTTGTCTCCCTGTGGCTGTTTTGATGTCATTTATTTCCTGCTTCGTTCTTCTTCAGTGATCCCAACCAATCAGAGACCCCATAAAATTTGATCCAGCACTTGGGGCTTACTAATTGTTTTGACAGGCAGTAGTGCTTCCTGGACTGGCTGTATAAATATTTTGCAGTGAACCACCTCCCTCCTCAAAATCCCTAAAGGATGGGACCTTTTGATAATGATAAAGGAATTTAGGGAAACGGACACCTCACCCCCTGTTCTAGTTCCACTTCTATCTACAACATTGTCCAAGGCAGTTCCAAAGTAGTTTAACACATTGAAATATAAATATTAGGCAAAACATACCTGCTTTCAGCCGTTCTGATGCTCTGCAGGAAAAAAGAGAAAGGGGGGGAGAGAAGACATGAATCAGGCATCTGTATCATTCTGGTTAACCCCTTCCTGTAACTTTCCCCATTAAAATGAACATAGTTTTTTTTTATTCTCTTACTTTGGTTTGCATCTATCTTCTAAAAACTTCAATAAAACAAAATATTTATTTTTTAAAAATTAATAGATATGTGGCTTCCAGTTTTAATTAAATATGCAACAAATAGTTCATCCTCTATTCCAGTTTTAATTAAATACACAGCAACAAATAGTTCATCCTCTATTATTTTTTCTATAGAGAGGGAGAGAGAAAGGGGAGGGGGATGTCACCACTGAGCCAATTAATCCAATATGGCTGCAACCCTATGCTCACTTACTTGGGTGTAAGCCCCATTGAATTCAATGGTGCTTGCATCTGAGAAGACACACAAAGAATTGCACTGTTTAAAACTTTTGATTTGTTCTTGGCACAGTGTGGCATAGTGGTTAGGGTGCCTGGGAGACAAAGGCTCAATCCCCAATTGGCCATGAAGCTTGTTGGGTGACCTAAAGCCAGTTGCCATCTCTCAGCCTAAACCGCGTTGGAGGGTTGTTGGGAGGCTAAAATGAGGGGAGAACCACGTGTGCCACCTTGACTTTGAGGAAAGGCAGAATACAAATGTAATGATGACAAATAAGACAGGGATTCCCCACCTTCACAAGTGGATTCTGGTTGCTTTCTCTGCTTTCGTGAAATGTTGCTTGCTCAGAACCTTCCAAAACTCTCTCATCTCTCCTCCTAACAATGTCATTGTCCAGCTTTTGCAGCCTCCTCAACACGAGTTTTTCTTGGTCTTCGACAAACCTTCGCAGCTCTTCCCACTCCCGGATTATGTTCTTCCTCTCAGCTTCTGTCTCCCTCTGCAATTCATAGGGGAAAGATCATTGTGGCGTCACACTCTCCCTATTGGGGTTGACCAATTTGGGGCTATCACTAATACCACCTAAATAACCTAAATATCCTCTCAAAAACCCCACAATATTGCTTCATTTGTACTTCACTGGCTTGGCCTCCACTACATTGAACACACTCCCTTAAATGTGACACTGTTCCAATGGTTGCCAAGACTTGGACACTCTCTTCCTGGTTATGAGTAAAGAAGTCTCTGTGAGCAAGCATAACCTTAACTGCTATAGGTTCCTCTCTTTTTCCCAATAATTTGTAGGATGGGGAGAAGAAATGCCATGCCATTTTGTGTTCCTGCCTTTTTTTTCTGTTCTTTTATATGTGTGGGCCATTTTGTGTCATGCAGCAGCCATTTTGTGACAGGCACCTCCAGCACTTTCTCAAAATCCCAAATGTGCCCATTGGCCCAGAAAGGTTGGCAACTCCTGTTCCACAGATTAGTCAAGAAAGCAAACCACCAAAAGCTTAGCCCAGCCTTATTGAGGGGAGGGGGTGATATTTTAATTTTATGAAATTTTTTTCCAGGAACCAAAGAAAGGGAACCTCCCTCCCCCTTTTGTTCTTCAATGAGGACTTCTGCAAAACTGAGGAGAGTGCTAAAATTCATTGAACCTCTTCAGGTTCCTGTGTATGTAGGCGGTTGGACTAGATGATCCTTGGGATCCCTCACAACTCTAAATTTCTAAGATTCTAAGTTACGCGAGGCTGGCAATGGCCATTTGGGGTTTCAAGATATCCAAAATGGCGACCATGAGCCTGACAGAACTTTAAGACGTTCAGAAAGTTCCCTCCTGAAATCTGCTGCCACAAGGGGTGGAAATGGCCCTCTCCTAAGTGATGTTTCTTTGGCCATACTCACACCATACTTTGAAAGCACCATGATACCACTTTAAACCGTCATGGCTTCCCACAAAGGATTCTGGGAGCCAAAGTCTTTTAAAGGCGCTGAGAGCTGTTCTCACTGGGCTACAATTCTCAGAGTGGTTTAACAATCAATCCCTCTTCGCAGGAAACTCTAATAATTGTAGCTCCGCGAGGGGAAAAGTTGCTGTGCACATCACAGAGGGGTTGGGGATGTCTTCAACTGATGCCCCTTGCCTGATTTCAGACTTCCCTGCCCTAAACTCCAGTTCACTGAAGCTGCCATCTGCACATGCTCAATGGCTGCCTGAACTGTGCACACCTCAGCTTAACCGCAGCTGGACGGAAGCTGGTTTGAGGGAAAGCTCACCATACAAGAGTATTTCTCACAGTAGCTACCAGATACCTACAGATGGTGGCCAATGTCACATTTACTTAGCTTCAAGCACCTGTTGTGGGAGTGTGCCAGAGTGAGCGGCACACTCAGTTGGCTCATTTTTGCTGCGTGTGGCCAATCTCTGAGTAGTGAGAGGTTTAAGGGGTACTACCGCATACCTTGGACCGGTTTCCTTGGAACGAAGGCTATTGGAAACTGTGGTGTCTTCGGCTACGTACACACCACACTTTTAAAGCACATTCTCCACACCCTTCCCCAAACAAACAACCCTAGAAACTGTAGCTTGTTAAGGCTGCTGGGAAAGGCAGCTCCGTGTGGGGCAAACTACAGTTCCCAGGATTCTTTGGGAGCAGACGTGTGCTTTAAATGTATGGTGTGTATGCAGCCTTTGTGTTATATGGTTTTATTTACACACACAGATGGAACATATGATGGAAGGGCTCGTGACATTAGTACCACAAAAGATGCCCCCCCCCCACCCTGCATTAGGTTTCCTGACTCATCCCCTATTGTTCTCCTACCCCATGGCCTCTAGCCAGGTGTGGTGTGGGAGGGAAGGCCTGCGCACTCCTCCTGAAAAGCATCCTTAGCTAGCCGTTTCTATGGCAACACACCTGTACCGGGCCAACTCTTTAATCCCCTTTAACAAAAAAATGCTGTTCAAGGCTTCCCTAAGGCCATTAACTTAACAAAGAGACTGGTTTAACACAAAGAGACTGGTTTGACCACTTCAGTGATTGTGAAGAGGGGCTCCGCATACCAGTGTTAAGCCTTCCAGGCCTCTCCATCCTCCATTATGGCTCAAGGGCACATTCTAGCCACACAAAATTAGTAGAGGAAGGGGCAAAACAGAGCCCTAAAGGGATGTAGACACAGGCCTGATAGAGAGACCTGGGAGACAGCATTATTCCCCACCCACAGCACTGAGGTTTCCCCATACCTGTACTCTATTCTGAACTTAAAAATGGAAAGCGAAATGCCAGTAGACAACAAAAGAGGTTTAAAGATGCTCTCAAGGCAAATAGAAAATGTAAGCTAAACACCAACAACTGGGAAACACTGGCCTGCGAGCGCTCCAGCTGGAGAACAGCCTTTACGAAAGGTGTTATGGGCTCTGAAGAGGCACAAACTCAGGACAAAAGGGAGAAACGTGCTAAGAGGAAGGCATGTTTGGCAAACCCTCACCATGATCAACTCCTGCCCGGAAACCTATGTCCCCACTGTGGAAGGATGTGTGGATCCAGAACTGGCCTCCACAGTCACTTACAGACACACCATTAAAACCATGTTCATGGAAGACAATCTTACTCGGTTACGAGTGATTGCCAAAGAAAAAGAAGACTTCAGGATCCCATCTCACAGATATAAAACCCCAGGCTTGGAGAAGACACAAAAATCTCATCCATAAAACACATACACACACAATCCCTTAATTTGAGGGTGGGGAAACCCTAACACCTTCTGCAAGTGCCAAACTACAACTCCCACCAAGTCTAACAAGCCTGGCCAACAGCCAGGTATCATGGGAGCTGTACTCTGGCAAGCTGTTACAACTCTTTTGCTTGCTCAACATCAACCCGGCACCCTCTGTTTTTCCACCACATGCTCCAAATGCCCTGGAATGACGCCATGCCAGGACAGTGTCAATTCTGAGGGGCGCTGAACTAGGCCACAGCAGTGGCAGAAAAGTATATGGCTGTTAAGAAGTCCCCATGAAAGTAATAATCTGCCTCCCCTTTGCCCAATTTTCAGCACTTTTCAGATCACTAAAGTGCCCTCTCCATCCAAACTGGATTCCGGCAAAGGGGTTAGCAAATTTCTGGGCATCATTTAAAAAATTTCCATCCTCATCTGCTTACCAGCAAATCCTCACTTTTTCTTCGACGTTGTGCTTTGATTTCTTCTCTCTTGTCATTCACACTGTCCTGCAGCACCTAAAGGTCCAGGGGCAGAGTGGGGAGGCTATGATCATTTTAATTAAGGAACATTCCCACATATATCCCAATAGAAGTATAGGGTTTTTTTAAAAAATTAAGTTTTGTTTATTTATTTACCAATTTGCAAGCTACACTTTCATAAGAAATGTAATAACAAGGCAGAATGCAAAATATAAAAACAAAATCAACAAATATATCCACAAAAGTCATCATCATTAAAGCATCAACATAACTGATTGGATTACAAAGAAAATTGATCTTGCAAAGGGCAGCCTAAATAGGAAAGTCTTCAAGAGATATCTGAAAGAAGGGAGTAATGGTTTTCATATGAAATAACACAGATAATCCAAACTAGGGCACACATAAAGGTCTTGAACCTTCACAGTTTCCTTAAAATCTTTTAATCTTTATTATTATTATTATTATTATTATTATTATTATTATTATTATTATTATTTTATTCCAAGGACCACAAACAATATATTGTGGAGGTTGGCAGGGAGAGGTCCATGTAAACAGAAGCAAGCGCTCAAACCAGCTATTTAGCTGCTTCTTCTTTAAAGGGTCAGTATGCCACTGACGGGACGCGGGTGGCGCTGTGGGTAAAACCTCAGTGCCTAGGACTTGCCGATCGCATGGTCGGCGGTGTGAATCCCCGCGGCGGGGTGCGCTCCCGTCATTCGGTCCCAGCACCTGCCAACCTAGCAGTTCGAAAGCACCTCTGGGTGCAAGTAGATAAATAGGGACCGCTTACCAGCGGGAAGGTAAACGGCGTACCGTGTGCTGCGCTGGCTCGCCAGATGCAGCTTGTCACGCTGGCCACGTGACCCAGAAGTGTCTGCGGACAGCGCTGGCTCCCGGCCTATAGAGTGAGATGAGCGCACAACCCTAGAGTCTGGCAAGACTGGCCCGTACGGGCAGGGGTACCTTTACCTTTACCTTTATGCCACTGACCACCATGTGCTGTGCTGTGGGGGTAAAGGGCTATTCCTCTGTGTCCCACTAGTGGGTTTCCTGAGATCATCTATTTTTCTTCTTCTCTGGGAATCACTCGTAGCAGAGTAAGATTGTCTTCCATGAACACAGTCTTAACAGTGAGACCGTAAGTGACTGTGGAGGCCAGTTCTGGATCCACACATCCTTCCACAGTGGGGACGTAGGTTTCCAGGCAGGAGTTAATCACGGCAAGGGTTTGCCAAACATGCCTTCTTCTTAGCATGTTTCTCCCTTTCATCCTGAGTTCAAGTGTCTTCAAAGCCCATGACATCTTTCGTAAAGGCTGTTCTCCAATTGGAGCTCCCACAGGCCAGTGTTTCCCATAACAAAAACTACCACAGAGATATCTAAATTTTCAAAAGTAGGGAGTCCATGAAAAACAGGAGGCCCACAGTACTTAGCTAATTGGGAACCACTCTTCTATGGCTCTTAAATGTGTTTGTGGGAGGGCAGTAATTGGTTTGCTTTTGTTTTATTAGGATTTTGTGTTCTCATTTTTTATTTTTATGTGGACTTTCATGTGGTCTTTGGATAAAGAGCGGCATACAAATTTAATTCATAATAATACTAATAGGTAACTTCTCCTACAAATCACTTCCTTGCTCAGCCGGGCTTCCTCTCAGCAGTGAGACTGATCCTTTCTGTCTGAAAGAGACAGAGTGAAAGGAGAAGCATCCTTTCCTTGAGAGGCAGAAAAACCATGTGCCAGCTGCGCTTTCCTCAGTCCTTTCTTCTTTGAACGGACAAAAACAAGTGTTTTAACCTTCGCCTCTGAGACATGCAAGACTTGCATCAGCAGGAGCAGCTGGCTGAGGCTTCCCGCCTCCCTGGTCATTTGTTGACAGGCAGAATAAAACTGGAATTCTCAGGCCGCAACCACACATTTAAAGTGCATGATTCCCCCCAAAGGATCCTGGGAACTTTAACTTGTTAAGGGTGCTGGGAATTGTAGCTCTGTTAGGGGTAAAGTGCCCTTCCCAGGATTCTTTTTTAATTTATTTGTTACATTTATATCCCATCTTTTATACATTTATTATATCCCTTACATACAGTGGTACCTCGGGTTAAGTACTTAATTCATTCTGGAGGTCTGTTCTTAACCTGAAACTGTTCTTAACCTGAAGTACCACTTTAGCTAATGGGGCCTCCTGCTGCCGTCGCGCTGCCAGAGCACAATTTCTGTTCTCATCCTGAAGAAAAGTTCTTAACCCGAGGTAATATTTCTGAGTTAGCGGAGTCTGTAACCTGAAGCGTATGTAACCCGAGGTACCACTGTATAGCCATGCTGGCTAGGAATGATGGGAGTTGTAGTCCAACAGCATTGTGGGACCCAAGGCTGAGAAACGCCGGGTTAGAATGTCGGACTAGGACCTGAGAGACCAGAATTAAAATCCCTGCACCGCTCACTGGGTGATCTTGAGCCCGTCACTGCCTCTCAGCCAAAACATACCTCACAGGGTCATCGTGGGGATTAAATAGCGGGTGACAGGGGAAGAACTGTGTATGCAGCTGCTTCGGGGGGGAAAGTGAGATATAATAAATAGGTAGATAAATAAATAAATTGGTTGCCTGCTCATTTTAATGCTCTCTTACCCAAGTTGCATCACTTTCCATCTTGCTGCAAAAGTCAACAGGATCTCTGGGGAGAAATATGGACCAGATGCCTCAGCCTGTCCGGAAGAAAGAAGAACAGAGAAGGAATTTAAAAACAAAGCTTGGGGAGTGCCAAATAATAAAGCAATTAGGGAAAATGCCTACCCTACAGGCAGATCCCTGGGACATTTTGGATGAAAATTGTGTGGTGTGCCACTGAAGTAAAGCCTGTACCCCTTTATATTGTTATTGATTAAACTTATTACTGTAGTTTTGTGGGGGGTTTTATACCAAAGTAACTCAAAGCAACTTAAAACAATAAATAACACGTATCTTAAAAAACAGCAAAGCAACATCTAAAACAGGGGTCTGCAACCCATGGCTCCGGAGCCGCATGTGGCTCTTTTACACCTTTGCTGCGGCTCCGGGGCGGATACTAGTGAGGGGAGGAGGCGCATTGTGCGCCCCGACACTCCCCACTGTGGCGGGCGCTGTACTGGCTGTGACGTCGCATGGGGGCGGTGCGTGCATTAGGCACGCACCATCCCGACTTCACCTTCCCGGTTTTGCGGCTCCCAGTTTGTTTTTTCTTCGGAAACGGGTCCAAGTGGCTCTTTTTGTCTTAAAGGTTGCAGACCCCTGATCTAAAACCTAAATGATTCCATATTAGGGCTCGGGAGTACCAGCTTGGCCCCACAACTGTGGGTGCCCGGGGCCATGGGTGCCATGCAGCGTGCATGGTCCTGGCACTGAAATTTGTGGTTGCCTGGCCCCTTCATGGGGAATTATGTGGGTGCTTTGGCACACAGGGCTCCAGGGAGTTGGCACCTACGGTAGGACTATCCAACGTGGTGCCTTCCATGTGTTGTCGAACAACAACTCTCACCAGCCCTAGCCATAAGCCTTACAGGCAGAAAGAAAGAGGGAAAAAGAACCCTAATTTCAACTCTTATCAATTCTGTTTCTCCACTGACTCTGCTGAAAGACTTAACAAGTTTTGGCTCCTCCCCACCAATCCCTCCATTCCGGCTGGCCATTGCAACAACTCCATAACTAAGACCTAGTGCCTGAGTTGTGGTTTTTCCTCTTCCCTCCCAGTCCTGTTTTTCCTTTTGTGTTGTGTCTGTTGGATTTGTAAGCCTGATGACAAGAGCTGACTTAATTTCTATTTGCAAGCTGCTGGAGAAGCTTTTTTATTATTATGTTATTATTTTTTGCTTACGAGTAGGATAATTTGTTCACACGCTTCAAATAAGTAAATGAAATTTAAACCCAATAAATAAATAAATAAGAGAAAGTAGCTAACAATTTGATAATTAATTGCGCGATGCCTTGCAGTATGTACATATCAACATATGTACACACAAAGATAAGTTGTATCCAATGCCCAATCTTGAGATTAATTTTACGGAGACCCTGGGCCTAGGAAGGCAGTTCCATCTGCAATCCTATGAAAGCTTACCTGTGAGTAAGTCCAAATGAACATAGTGAGACTGACCTCTGAGTAAGCATGCATAGGTTTCTGCTGTGAATCCTAAAGGCTGAGTGACATGAAGCAACTTTTACAATGGATAGTACAGTAATAGTTTAATATTTGAACAGCATCCTCAACAGGGGTGGGTGGGGGGAGTATTATTAGTCGGTTTCTCTCCAGGAAAGACAGAAGGCTTGTGCCATTTAGGTTTAAAATCAAAATTCAGTTATTGTGAAACATGTTCGCAGAACTTCCTTTTTCCTTGAAGGAGAAACCAAATCTTAACAGCAGGATTACTAAATGTTTTTATCACTTTTGGAGTATTTCGTAAGCCACAGAGCCTTTTCATTTCGGATTAAGCCTCTTAAAATTAGACTGCCTCTCTTGTTCCAGCAGGCTTTTGGGGAAACTGACTTGTTTTAAGGAAAGGGCTGGTGCTGTGATGTTTTTATTGCAATGATCGGTATGTTTTAATAGATCAGATAGAGAGATAGAAAGATATTCTGTTAGTGATGAATTGCTTTCAAATGCTTGTTTCCCTTCCCCCCAAATCTTTTTCGCTCTTTCTATTTTAGCTGTAAGCCCCCTTACATCTGCCAGGGGAAAAGACGTTATTATTATTATTATTGTTGATGATGATGATGATAAGCTGCAAGAATGATCGGGCACATACCAGAAAGTACGTCCTATTGAACTCGGTAGGAATTACTTCTGGGTAAAAATGCAAAGGACTGCATTGCAAGCTGCACTAAACAATAGGCTGCGGTGAGTGAGCACCATGGTCTGCCCGTTCAGCGTAACAAATCAGATCTTCAGATCTTTGCTTTTCCCCCCTCCACACTTACCCTTCCCAGACTTTTCCAACGCCTTTCTGCCGCAGCGGTGAAATTCAGCACCCGGGTCCTTCCTCCGTGGGCTCCCTGTTGCTGATGGAGAGAAGATGCCGCCGCCGCCGCAGCGCCTCGCTCCTCAATTGCCCGGGTGCCGGGAAGGGGGGCTGCCGGGCGGGTGGGCGCGGATGCCGGATGCCGCTTCAAAACAAAGTTGTGGGGAAAGCCGCGTTCATCTCAGCCGAAATCAGAGACGGAGAGAGGAGCAAGCAAGCGACCAGCTCCCTCGCCTGGCGAGGATTTTAGACAGCCCTCTGCTGGCCGCAGGGAAGGCTCAGCCCAGGCCAAGATGCGTGGTCCAAATTTCAAACTGAGAGGTTGCAGCCTCTCCGCCCAAACTACCTCGCAGGGTTGTTGTGGTTTGGGGAAGAGCTCTGTACCCCCACACCTTGAGCTCCTTGGAGGAAAGGTGCAATAATAAATGAGCCATAATAATAATAATAATAATAATAATAATAATAATTTATTATTTGTCTTATTACAAGAAAGAAGATTCCACCTAAACATTAGGAAGAACTTCCTCACAGTAAGAGCTGTTCGACAGTGGAATTTGCTGCCAAGGAGTGTGGTGGCGTCTCCTTCTTTGGAGGTCTTTAAGCAGAGGCTTGACAACCATATGTCAGGAGTGCTCTGATGGTGCTTCCTGCTTGGCAGGGGGTTGGACTCGATGGCCCTTGTGGTCTCTTCCAACTCTATGATTCTATGATTCTATGATTCTATGTACCCTGCCCATCTGGCTGGGTTTCCCCAGCCACTCTGGGCGGCTTCCATAGAAACCAAAGATACAGTAAAATATCACAGATTAAAAACTTCCCTGAACAGGGCGGCCTTCAGATGTCTTCTGAATGTCAGGTAGTTGTTTATCGCTTTGACATCTGATGGGAGGGGCGTTCCATAGGGCGGGCGCCACTACCGAGAAGGCCCTCTGCCTGGTTCCCTGTAACCTTACTTCTCGCAATGAGGGAACCGCCAGAAGGCCCTCGGCGCTGGACCTCAGCGTCCGGGCAGAACGATGGGGGTGGAGACGCTCCTTCAGGTATACTGGGCCAAGGCCGTTTAGGGCTTTAAAGGTCAACACCAACACTTTGAATTGTGCTCGGAAACGTACTGGGAGCCAATGTAGGTCTTTCAAGACCGGTGTTATGTGGTCTTGGCGGCTGCTCCCAGTCACCAGTCTAGCTGCCGCATTCTGGATTAGTTGTAGTTTCCGGGTCACCTTCAAAGGTAGCCCCACGTAGAGCGCATTGCAGTAGTCCAAGCGGGAGATAACTAGAGCATGCACCACTCTGGCGAGACAGTCCGCGGGCAGGTATAGTCTCAGCCTGCGTACCAGGTGGAGTTGGTAATAATGGATACAATCAAATAGGCAGATTGGCTAAATGAATTGTTGGGTAGCTGCAAAGAGGTAACGTTTCTGTTGTTGTTTAGTCGTTTAGTTGTGTCCGACTCTTTGTGACCCCTGGACCAGAGCACGCCAGGCACTCCTGTCTTCTACTGCCTCCCGCAGTTTGGTCAAACTCATGCTGGTAGCTTTGAGAACACTGTCCAACCATCTCATCCTCTGTCATCCCCTTCTCCTTGTGCCCTCCATCTTTCCCAACATCAGGGTCTTTTCCAGGGAGTCTTCTCTTCTCATGAGGTGGCCAAAGTATTGGAGCCTCAGCTTCAGGATCTGTCCTTCCAGTGAGCACTCAGGGCTGATTTCCTTAAGAATGGAGAGGTTTGATCTTCTTGCAAGAATATTCTCTGGCAACTCCATAAACCATTGGAGGAGGAGGAGATGAAACATCCATGAACTCTTGGATCAGGCCAAAGAACCCGTCCAGTCCAACACCCTGACATAAGGATAGAAGCTTCTAGAATTCACAGGAATCTTTGTGGGAAGGGGAGCCATGACTGTCTTAAGTGACATGATATTGCTTTCAATTTATAGTGCAGGACCCAGGACAGGATGGCTAAGAATATGTTGTTGTCCAGGGATGATGGCAGCTGGAGTTCAATATTTGGAGGACAAAATGTTGGCTGCTCCTGGTACAAGGACATTTTAAGAAACTGTGTGTGGGCTCTCCCTCAAATTCCTTCCCCCATCCACTGATCCCAGCACCTCATAGTTCAGAGAAGATTGCTGCCCAATAGGAGGAGCTAGCGAAATTGAATTCAGACCTCACCTGCGGCCAGTGCTGTGTAAACCCTGCAATAAAGAAAAAGATGAAAAGAACAGTTTATGGAGGCCCCACAAATCACCCAGAAATGCATTTTAAATAAAAGCACACATTCTACTCATGTAAAAACATGCTGATTCCCGGACTGTCCGCAGGTCGGATTTAGAAGGCGATTGGGCCGCATCCGGCTCCCGGGCCTTAGGTTGCCTACCCATGCTCAAGACAGATGGATGCCAGCCAAACCATGTAAGTGGGAAATCGCCAGCACAGCCACATTTGACTTCAAAAGAGGGAACTTTCCTCCCGAATGAGGAGAGTAGTAAAAAGGGAGTTGAAAGGCCAAGCCAAGATGGTCAAATCTTTTCCAGAGGCTTGGAAGTTCTTTAAAACTGTGATATTGGAAGTTGATTGAATGTAGACCAGGAAAAGTACTACCAGGGCTAAGAGGATGCCAACATGGCTGATGATCAGAGTCAAGGCAGCTTTTAGAGGCAGGAAGGCTTCCTTCAGAAAATGGAAGTCTCGTTCAAATGAGGAGGACAAAGCTTAAGCAAAAGAAAGCAGACGGAAAGGGATATAAAGAATTCATTCATTTTGCCATTTGTTATAGGAGCATATTGATTAAAAAAAAAAGTTAAAACCAACCAAAGCAATTCTGCAACCACATCAAAAGCTGGAAACAGACTAGGAAGGCCATTGGAGAACAAGGTAATTGCAAGCGTGCTGGAGGAGACTAAAGAGGAGCTGAATGAATTCTTCCTGCTCCTTTGTTCATGAACATAAAAAGGAGACTGCAAGGTGATTAAGGATTAAATTGGGGTGGTTCACACCTGCATCCCAGTTTGGTTATTTTTACTCTTGGCTTGATTATTAGCTTGAACTGCCTGTACTCTGATGTGATTTGATTTTTAAAGGGTTTTTTGCTTTATATTAGTGGAAATTCACTGTATCGTAAAAAAAAAAAAGTATAAATATCTGCCAACTGAGGGCAGCACCTTACACAGTGCCGCCATAAGAATGCAATCCTTGGCTTACCTTCTCAGTTCGGCACCAGCAAATCAGGCAAAGAGAGCTCAGAGTCCCTTGCCTTTGCCTCCATCCAGGCCTTGGAGCAGATTTCAGTGGGGCTGGGGAAGCTGGGGCATCAAGAGGCTGTTGTGGAAGGGGGTCTAGATTTAACCCACAACACTTATGTGGATCCCCAGAGTGTTGTGACACATCCAGACAATGTGAGGGCCCTGGTGTGAGCATTCTCTGCCTTGGAAGCCTCACTACAATCAATTCTAGCTACTGAGCAGAGACACACTTTGCACAAGCTCAGAGGCGCCTTTGGTGTCGTTCATCAGTGCACACGTTCCAAGTCTGAGCAGGGCATAAATTGAAAGCAGTTGCCAGGGAGCTCATCCCCTGAAAGCCTCCCATCAAATTTAAGGCGTCAGTTGGTTTGGAAAGGGCTGCGGGCCAGTGACAGGGAAACTGCTTTGCATGCAGAAGGCCCCAGGTCCAATCCCTGCGATCACTAAGTATGGCTGGGGAAAACAGCTGCCTGAAACCCTGGAGAGCTGCTACTGCCAGTCAGTGCCTGTCAGTACTTTGCTAGATGGGCCAATGGTCTAGCATTGAGTAAGGCAGCTTTGCAAATCTGCTTAAAGATATGAAGAGATTTAGAACAGGGGTAGGCAAACTAAGGGACGCGGGTGGCGCTGTGGGTTAAACCACAGAGCCTAGGACTTGCCAATCAGAAGGTCGGCGGTTCGAATCCCCGCGACGGGGTGAGCTCCCGTTGCTCGGTCCCTGCTCCTGCCCACCTAGCAGTTTGAAAGCACGTCAAAGTGCAAGTAGATAAATAGGTACCGCTCCGGCGGGAAGGTAAACGGCAATTTCCGTGTGCTGCTCTAGTTCGCCAGAAGCGGCTTAGTCATGCTGGCCACATGACCTGGAAGCTGTACGCCTGCTCCCTCGGCCAATAAAGTGAGATGAGCGCCGCAACCCCAAAGTTGGCCATGACTGGACCTAATGGTCAGGGGTCCCTTTACTAGGCAAACTAAGGCCCGTGGGCTGGATGCGGCCCAATCACCCTCTCAATCCGGCCCACAGACGGTCCAGGAATCAGCGTGCTTTTACATGAGTAGAATGTGTCCTTTTTATTTAAAATGCATCTCTGGGTTATTTGTGGGGCATAGGAATTCGTTCATTTTTATTTTTTTTCAAAATATAGTCCGGCCCACGGCATGGTCTGAGGGAAGGTGGACCACGGCTGAAAAAGACTGCTGACCCCTGATTTAGAACAAAGCTCCACACTGGCTCACAAAGGGTTATGCTGATAGATATACACAATTACGCCTAGATCGACCAGGCAATTTGAGAAGCTGGTGAAGCCACTTCCTTTCCCCACCTTGCCCTTTCCTGGGGGAAAAGTGGGGGTTGCAGCTCCCAGCTTGCAGGGAGAGGTGAGCTACAGGGGAATTTAGGAGGGAGGGGCCATTTGCAGGAAAGTTGGGAGAAAACGATAGACAATCCCAGAAGATCAAGGGTGTCAGTGGCTGCAAAAAGGACATAGGAAGCTCCTTTGTACTGAGTCAGCTCAGTACAGCCAATTTAATTTCTTTTTTTTATGCAGAGAAAATAAAACAGTTTGAGGAGAAGGTGAATGAATTCTTTTCTCTGCTTTGTTCATGAACTTCAAAGGGAGGCTGCAAGGTGACTGAGGATTAAATTGGGTTGGCTTATTTTTACACGTAGCTTGGGCTGCCTGTATTTTGGTATGATCCAGTTTTTTGTTCTGTAGTAGTGGAGACACGCTATATAGCAAGCAAATGTACAAATATCTGCCAGTCGAGGTTAGCACCTTATGCAGTGATGCAGAGTCAGCGGGGGCCAGAGTAAAAAGGAGCTTGTCAATGTTTGGGGAAGCTTTTAATGTTTGATGCATTACTGTATTTTAATATTTTGTTGGAAGCTGCCCAGAGTGGCTGGGGAAGCCCAGCCAGATGGGCGGGTATAAATAAATTATTATTATTATTATTATATTATTATTATTATTGTTATTGTTATTGTTATTGTTATCATCATCATCATTATTAATGCAACTCTCTGGGATTTGCAGGTGGGGTGAGAGAACAGGGTGCTAAGATTGCTGGAATGGTACAGCAGCTCCCTTGCATGCAGAAAGTCCCGACATTCCCTGCCTGACATCTTCCTTATGTTCTTCTGTAAACTCCAATATCAAATATTTTTGTTTCTGCTCTGCTCAGAAAATGCACTGGCCCATCTGAATTTACTCCTCTGCCAGCTGCTTTGCCTTGCTGCAGATTCCGGTCACAGTTTGGTCTGGATCCAACCCTTGAAGGAGAATGGCTGAAGCACAGGTAGGGACCCACAGATACTCACTCCCCCCTCTCATTTTGTTCCAGCAGTGGTGGCTGGTGCCCCCTGGGACAGGTAGTGCGGGAGGCAGGGAGCTGAAGAAGAGGTGGTTACACAGAGCCAAATGACAGGCAGAGCCAACTAATCTAGGTTTATCCCTGTCCTCCTCCTCCTCCTCCCTGATATGAAGGCAAAACTGAGAGGGAGGAGGAGGAGCAAGCAGTGCACCCCTTGGCCTCATTTTTAAGAAGGCAAGCAGGCAGGGAGCAGCAGGTTGAGGACAAACTGAGGTAGATGGGGCAGTCCTTTCATTACTCTAATCATGGACCAGCCTCCCCTGGTGTGGCAATCACACAGGGTCCCCGGACGTTTTCACTGTCTATTGATCCCTGTGCCACCACTTTATTTCTCGCTGCCATCACCCAGGCCCTACCTGGTACAATACAGAGTCCAGTCAGGGTTAAATTGGAACATAAACTTCTGTTTATTTATTGTAGTTTGACAAGCCTGTGGTTTCATAAACGGTATCGGTCAATTACAATCATGGGGTGCCTATCCAGACCTATAACTTCCGCTACCTGCTCTCACTCACTAAACCACCTCTCAGATATTTACTTGTCTTCCTAGCCCCTAACTGTTCCTGACTCAGTTTATTTTGCTACACTAACTCAACCTACCCACAGACTCTATCCCAACTCACTCCCACTCCAACCAACCTCCCAACGAACTCCCCTTCGCCCCTCACAGAGCTGGCTTTATAGTCCCTCTGACTCCACCCCCCTGGGTTCTGATTGGGTAATTTGTTTAACTATTTCACCTCCAGCACTCTCATATGTTAACGTCACACTCGGAGTATACCGGAAATTGTAATTTATTAAAATTGTCTGATGGGTCATCCGACAAATCTAGCAGAGCTCTTCTTACATTCTCATGACACAGCATATGAGGAAAAAGGACTGGGAGGGAGGAGGGGAAACCAAGCTCCGCTGAAACGTCTTTCACTCGCCAAAAACCGTGCTCAGAAATGAGAACGCAAGTGTTTCCCCAGTGGACTAGCTAGTTGAGGCTATTTTAATCAAGAGAAGTTTTAATGTTTCAAAATGTGCCCCCTTTCACCCCTTTTGTTACAGGATCATCCAGTTTGCCCGACAAAAGAGGGAGACATCAAAACTGAGGATCAGCAGAGTAGTGAAGACCTGCCGGTAGGCATCCTTAATCCACTCACTTAAGTAAAACGATGGAAGGAACTTGAGGAGAGCCAGGGAGAGCCAGTGTGGTGTAGTCGTTAAGAGCGGTGGACTCGTAATCTGGTGAACTGGGTTCGCGTCTCCACTCCTCCATATGCAGCTGCTGGGTGGCCTTGGGCCAGTCACACTTCTCTGAAGTCTCTCAGCCCCACTCACCTCACAGAGTGTTTGTTGTGGGAGAGGAAGCGAAAGGAGAATGTTAGCCGTTTTGAGACTCCTTTGGGTAGTGATAAAGCGGGATATGAGGGACGCAGGTGGCGCTGTGGGTAAAAGCCTCAGCGCCTAGGGCTTGCCGATCAAAAGGTCGGTGGTTTGAATCCCTGCGGCGGGGTGCGCTCCCGTTGCTCGGTCCCAGCACCTAGCCAACCTAGCAGTTCGAAAGCACCCCCGGTGCAAGTAGATAAATAGGGACCGCTTACTGGCGGGAAGGTAAACAGCGTTTCCGTGTGCTGCGCTGGCTTGCCAGATGCAGCTTTGTCACGCTGGCCACGTGACCCGGAAGTGTCTCCGGACAGCGCTGGCCCCCGGCCTCTTGAGTGAGATGGGCGCACAACCCTAGAGTCTGTCAAGACTGGCCCGTAAGGGCAGGGGTACCTTTACCTTTACCTTAAAGCGGGATATCAAATCCAAACTCTTTCTTTCTCTTTCTTTCTTCACCCAGTGCATCATTAATGCATGGAACTACCCGCCACATGGTGTCCTGACGGCCACAGGCTTGAGTGGATTTAAGAGTGGATAACACCCGTTCATAGGGACATAGGAAACTGCCATATAACAAGTCAAACCAAACTGGTCCTGCTAGCTCAGTATTTTCTACACTGAATAGGAGCAGCTGACCAGGGCTTCAGGCGATAATTTTTTACCAGCCATGCCTGGAGATCCTGGGGGTTAAACCTGGAACATTCTATAGGTTGTCTGAGTCTTTTTAGAGGGGCAATGTGGGATACCAATTAGTTAAACAAACAAAAAATGTGAAGTAAGAATTCAACATCCTGAGAATCTCAGCTTCTTTCTTTTTATTTGTGATGTAAAATGCACACTGCTAGCACTGCTGTCAAGATACGACTGAGAAGGCATGGGCAGAGACCACGTGAGCAGGCAGTTCTTCTTCCTCTCTCATAATACGAGAACCCAGGACCATTCAACGAACATTGGGAGATGCAGGGCAGACAAACCAAAGGATTTCTTCACACAGTTGAACTATGGCATTCGCTCCCACCAGAGGCAGTGAAGGCTACCAACTGAGATGGCTTTAAAAGAGAATTAGCATCTTTCAGAGATGCCCTGACAAATTTATGAAAGATAAGGCTACCAATGGTTGCTAGCTATGATGGCTGTTCTCTACCTTCACATCTGAGGCAGTATTTGTTAAGGATAACGGTTTAATTGCCTGAAATGGGAATGTTTGCTTCTGTTGAATTGATGTGTATTTTTAGCATAGGTTCTTTTTTCCTTTGGCGGTAGCTCTCTCATGATTGGCTGACTGTGAGTCACATGAGAGAGGCATTCCATTCTGTTGTGACTGTTATTCAAGTAACTGTCGTTTTTAACTGGCTTTCTGCTTCTGTGTGTGTGTGAAGGGGAATGGCTGCTGAGAGAGGTTTCTCAGGATCTGCTAAGGACAGTGTGTGTTAGTGTCATCTTTCTGAAGTGAATCAGACAGAGGAGATTCCCTAAATGTTAATAGGGAGAAACCTGAGCATGATATTGTAAATATATTCTTCTAAGTTATATGTTTATGAAAGTCAAGGGTTATTTGCTGTTGTGCTCAGGTGCTGCTTAGGGGCCTCTTGACTGAGGCATCTGGTTGGCCACTGTGAGAACAGTCTGGTGGACTAGATGGGCCATTTGGCCTCATCCAGCAGGACTATTTTTATGGCAGTTCCTAGTCATAGCTCATAGACCTATGGATTCTCTGATCTATGGGATTTTCTCCCAGGCTCACCACCCACTTCTTAAATCTTGCCTTCCGGCAGAGAGAAATGGAAGCTGAGAGGATGAAGATTGTCCAGAAGTGGAAGGAGATGCACCAGATTCTCGATGAGCAGCAGCAGCTCCTGCTGAGGTGGCTACAGAACATGGAGGGTGACGTTCTCCGCAGAAAGAAGGAGGTTCTCCAAATCACCAGGGAGACTTCCCTCCCCCGTGAACTGGAAAAGGAGAAGAAGCCACAGCAGCCATTACTGGTAGGAAGAGTGGGATCTTGGAAAGTCAGTGGCAAACTGGGAACCTGTGGGCTTCTGACTGTTGCTGGACTACAACTCCCATCATGCTGCCTGGGGCCAATGGGAGCTAAAACATAATTAAATTAAATTAGTTAAATGTATTTTCATTGATTAATCAGTTACAGTGGTACCTCGGGTTAAGTACTTAATCCGTTCCGGAGGTCTGTTCTTAACCTGAAACTGTTCTTAACCTGAAGCACCACTTTAGCGAATGGGGCCTCCTGCTGCTGCCACATAGCCCAATTTCTGTTCTTATCCTGAAGCAAAGTTCTTAACCTGAAGCACTATTTCTGGGTTAGCGGAGTCTGTAACCTGAAGCGTATGTAACCCGAGGTACCACTGTACTTGATTGCTTTAAAAGTGCAGATGAAAATGGTTCTGATGAAACCATTGCAGCTTGCAGCTTTTAGTATAGTAAAAATAATGTTACATTGCCCAACAATGCTCCTATTATTGATTAAAAGGCTTTTTCAATGATTATAGCAGGGGTGGGGAAATGCGTTCAGATCCTGACCTCCCCTAAGGGGCCATTTCTGACAAGTGGACATAGTTATCATGACATCAGATGAAGCATTTTCTTTTGCCCATACAGTTTGTAACCAAACCACCTGGCAAGGTTGAAGGTCAGCTGTGTCCTTACTTGCCCCACACCTGGTGTCATATGGGGTAGGTGGGTGTGGCTTGAATAAAACAGCCTCGGGGGCCAAATTAGGACCTCTTCAACTGACAATTGAATCTGCCATGAACATTTGGGCTGTAATATGCATATTATTGTTATTGTTGTTGTTATTATTATTATTATTATTATTATTATTATTATTTCTGATTGTTCTAGGCTGCATACCCTCTACATTTTAAAAGCACGTTTCCCCTCTCAATGATTTCTGGCGCTATAGTTAACACCGCACAGAGTTACAATTACCAGGTACCCTTAACAAACTACAGTGTCTATCATTCTTTGAAAGAAGTAGCTTCAAATGGCCTTGCCTGTCTTGCACAACATAGCAAGAATATTCTCTGGCAACTCCGTAAACTGTTCTTTTCATCTTTTCTTTATTGCAGGGTTTACACAGCACTGGCCGCAGGTAAGGTCTGAATTCAATTTTGCCAGCTCCTCCTATTGGGCAGATAGTTCATCTTCTCTGAACTATGAGGTGCTGGGATCAGTGGGTGGGGGAAGGAATTTGAGGGAGAGCCCACACACAGTTTCTTTAAAAGTCCTTGTACCAGGAGCAGCCAACATTTTGTCCTCCGAATATTGAACTCCAGCTGCCATCATCCCTGGAAAACAGTATATTCTTAGCCATCCCTGTCCTGGGTCCTGCACTATAAATTGAAAGCAATATCATGTCACTTAAGAAAGTCATGGCTCCCCTTCCCACAACGATTCCTGTGAATTCTAGAAGCTTCTATCATGTCAGGGTGTTTAACTAGACAGGCTCTTTGGCCTGATCCAAGAGTTCATGGATGTTTCGCCTCCTCCTCCTCCAACAGAGACACTTAACTTTCTCTCTCTCTCTCTCTCTCTCTCTCTCTCTCTCTCTCTCTTTTGCAGAGACGATACATTCTTCCCGAAACCACAGCCGGATTTGGGGGAGCTGGAGAAGAGGCTGAGCGATTTCTCCCACAAAAGGGCTGCTTTGCTGGAAACGCTGCTGGCATTCAAAGGTGAAGAAGGGTTTTTATTTGCTAGGATCTTTCGAAAAGCCACAATGACATATAGGTAAAGTGAAAACAAAAAATGCACAGTTGTGTCTAATGTTAGTCCTATGCAAAGTGGACCCATTGGAATTCATGCAGAGGACTATGGCCTCATCTGCAATTAAATATACAGTCAAACCTCAGTTGTCAAATGTAATCTGTTTTGGAAGCCCATTCGGCTTCCGAAATGTTCAACAACCAAGGTGCACTCAAGTGGAAGCCACATTGGATGTTCAGCTTCCGAAAAACATTCGAAAACTGGAGTAGTTACTTCCGGGTTTTTGGTATTCAGGAGCCAAAATATTCCAAAACAGAGCCGTTTGGGAACCAAGGTTTGACTGTACATTTAAAGTAGTAGCATTCTGTCTTAAACAAGAATGGCTTCCCTCAAAGAATTCTGGGAAGTGTAGTTTGTTAAGGGTGCTGAGAGTTGCTGGGATAGCAAAGCTACAGGGAACCAGGCAGAGGGCCTTCTCGGTAGTGGCGCCCGCCCTGTGGAACGCCCTCCCATCAGATGTCAACAAGATAAACAACTACCTGACATTCAGAAGACATCTTAAGGCAACCCTGTTCAGGGAAGTTTTTAATGTGTGACATCTTAGTGTATTTTTTGTCTTTGTGGAAGCCGCCCAGAGTGGCTGGGGAAACCCAGCCAGATGGGCGGGGTACAAATAATATATTATTATTATTATTATTATTATTATTATTATTATTATTACCCCATTCTCCTCAGAGTTCCTTGCAATGAGGGATTGTTTGTTAAGCCACGCTGAAGACTCTTGTCTACTGTTTGTGACATTGGTGTCACCATGCCACAAACGTATGGAGAGGCAGGGCTTCTCCATAAGTCTCTTAAAATTGTGCATGCATGATGATTTGGGCTCATGATGACATTGGGGAGGTTGTCCCTTCTTTCAATACTGTTTCAGCCTGCAAACGTTTTAGGGCGGACCTACTGATAAGTTTCCAGTCAGAGCATGTTCCCCAACTTCCTTCTGGACTCCTGTCACTTTTTACACCACACATGTTCCAGTTTATTTATTGGACCTGCTTTTGTGGTGCTGTAAACCCAGGAGTGTCGCTCCAGATGATAATATTGCGGTAATGTTGTGAAAGCATCACAGGGCTACAAGTAAAGGAGAATGACCTCTGGTTGGTCCAGTATGAATACAGCATGAATCGGCTAATTAGCGTTTTAATTGCCAGAAAGTCCGCCAGCAGTTGGAAGGGGCCCTGAGAGAGAAAGAGAAAAAGGACAAAATTGTGAAGGATGTTAATTTTTTTCCCTTTCTTTCTGCAGGAAATCTGCATCTGGAGTTGAAGAGGAATGGAGGTACATACACACTTTAACTTTAAAAGTAAAATAAAATTACATACTAGAGACCAACACGCTTTGCTGCCTGAATGAAGAATGATAATATATAAGTATTTTTATAGCTCAACATTTCTAACCTTGCAAGGTTTAAATTTCTTTTTATATTATTATTATTATTATTATTATTATTATTACAGTATTATTATTATTATGACAAAGTAATAATCATAAATAAACAAGAATAAAAATGTGCACCCCACCACTGAGACCATTCCACTGTAACTATCCAAACTCCCAAAATTTCAACAACTCTCGCCATGGTTTGACCCCTTTCTGTTTTAACAGTACAAATTCTACAAACACCTTCCATATCTCCTCACAATCATTTATCCTGCATATTCCCTGTCTTACCTTAATGGCACATGTTAATTTATCGTTAATAGCTATATCCCACACCTCTTTATACCATTTTTCCATTTTATATTCTGCTTGCCCCTTCCACTTCCTAGTTATAATAATTCGTGTGACTGTCAATAAATTTGTGAGCAAGTCCTTCATGGCCTGCGAACCTTCCATCCCATCGTAAATGTTTAATAATGCTACCTCTGCACTTTTGGTCAGCTGTAACCCAGTGATTTCTGTTATCTCCTTAAACACCCTTTGCCAAAAAAAATGTTCTTATTTACACCCCCACCACATGTGAACATAATTCCTGGTTTCCTGGCATCCCCTCCAACATAACACCGAATATTCATTGATTATTTGTGTAGTGGTTCTAGGGGTTGCTCATGCGTAAGCCGGTGCAAACACCTGGCTGGGTTGCCTGAGTGAACCTTTTCTGTCCGGACAGCCACTCTCCCGTGGCTGTCTCAATCGCTGGCAGAATCCGTCAGTGGGCGTTTCTTAAACTTCTTCCAGCAAAGAAGCTCTTTGATGCCTAGCCTCCTCCTACTCTCTCTGCGCGAAAGCCTTCTGTGCAAGGAGGGCGTAGGCAGCGGAGGACCTCTACTCTCCCTGCTGGTCCCCGGCAAGGAGTCCTGGGACCGCCTCGCCGCTTCCCCCATCTGCCCCCCTTCTCCACTGGTGCTATGCTGATTCTCTTCCCCAGAAGATGGGCTGCCTCTCCCAATCCCGGGACACTCTCAGGAATCCCTCTGGATTTTGCTCTCTCCCTCCGGCACTGATGGCAGTTCCCTGACAATTTGATTTAATCTGACTGGCGTTAAATACCATCTCCAAACTAATTTATAATAATTTTCTTTTATTCTTAAATAAATTTCATGAAGATAGGAACACAGGAAACTGCTTTATCCTGACTCAAAACCATTGGCCCATCTGGCTCAGTATTGTCTACTTTGACTGGCAGTGGCTTATAAGTGCCTGAACCTGGGACCTTATATGCAAAGCAGATGCTCTGCTACTTAGCTAAAAACCCCTTCCCACCATGATTGAAATCATAGAATTTATCAGATTTTTCTGCATTAATATAACAGTATCCAACTTGCTTATTTCTAGCAGGAGAAGGCCAGGTGAGCAACATGGAGGATGAGAAACCTCTGATGGATCATACTGAGCAACAGGAACGGAATGATAGGACAGCGGAAGGAGCAGCAGAGAAAATGTCTGTGTGCCCTGAACCGAAGGCCACTTCTGAGGATGAACATGGCTCAAAAAGAGAGCAGAGGAAATGTCTGGACAAAGGGGACGAGGACAAATCTATTCCCTGCAAAGGAAACAACTGTGACCTTGATGGGCACAAAGTTCTGCCAAGGACTCAACAGATCAAGAAGCAAAGGGTGTGTGCCGAGTGCGGGAAATGCTTCAGTCAGAAGTCAAACCTTATTACACATCAGAGAATCCACACCGGTGAGAAGCCGTACGAGTGTGCCGACTGCGGGAAGAGCTTCTGCCAGAGATCGGGCCTCATTTCGCACCAGAGAACCCACACGGGTGAGAGGCCGCACAAATGCTCGCACTGCCAGAAGAGCTTCCGGTTCCACTCCAACCTCATCATGCACGAGAGGACTCACACGGAGGAGAAGCCGTACAAGTGCTCGCGTTGCGGGAAGCGCTTCAACCAGCGGTCGAACCTCGTCAGTCATGAAGGGACCCACCGGCAGGAGAAGCCGTGCAAGTGTTCCGAGTGCGGGAAAAGCTTCCGCCGGAGCTCAGAGCTCACTGTCCACATGATGACCCACACGGGGGAAAAGCCATACAAGTGCCTCCAATGCGAAAAGGGGTTCAGGAGGAGGGCAGACCTCATTGTGCATGAGAGGACCCACACGGGAGAGAAGCCATACGGCTGCCCCCATTGCGGGAAAAGCTTTAGCCAGAGGTCAGGTTTAATTGCACATGAGCGGACGCACTCAGCAGAGAAGCCGCATGAGTGCGTGGTGTGCGACAAGGGCTTCAGCCACACTGCACACCTTGCCTCGCACGAGAAGCCAGACCTCACCACGCACCACCAGAACCGCACTGGCGAGAAGCCTTACGAATGCGCAGACTGTGGGAAGAGCTTCTGCCAGAGATCGAAACTCGCCGTCCACCAGAAAACCCACGTGCGCGAGAAGCCGTACAAATGCTCTCACTGCGAGAAGAGCTTTGGCTTCCGGTCCTACCTCATCGCACATGAGAGAATCCACACAGGGGAGAAGCCATTCAAATGCGCGCGTTGTGGGAAGGGCTTCAGCCAGCGGTCGGCCCTCAGAGGTCACGAAGGGACTCACGAGGAAGAGAAGCCTTACAAGTGCTCCGAGTGCGGGAAAAGCTTCTGCCGGAGCTCAGAGCTCCTCGTCCACCTGATGACCCACACGGGGGAGAAGCCGTACAAGTGCCCTCAGTGCGGGAAGCGCTTCAGGAGGAAGCCGGAGCTCATCATCCACGAGAGGATTCACACGGGCGAGAAGCCGTACAAGTGCACAGACTGCGGGAAAAGCTTCAGCCAGATGTCGGGCCTCCTCAGTCACGGACGTACCCACCGGGAAGAGAAGCCGTACAAGTGCTCCGAGTGCGGAAGGGGTTTCAGGAGGAAGCCAGACCTCACCGTGCACGAGAGGACCCACAAGGGGGAAAAACCGTACAAGTGCGTGGAGTGCGGGAAGGGGTTCAGGAGGAGGACGGATCTCATTGTGCACGAGAGGACCCACACAGGGGAAAAACCGTACAAGTGCCCTCACTGCGAGAAAAGCTTCAGGCAGAAGCCAGGCCTGAACGTGCACCAGAGGACCCACACAGAGGAAAAGCCGTAGAAATGTGTGGTTTGCGACAAGAGCCATGCTTCACACCTTTCTGTGCATGAGATGACCCACATGGAAAAGCGGCCATTCAAGTGCCTGGACTGTGGGAAAAGCTTTGACTGGAAACTGGATCTCACTTTGCCCTGCCAGAACCACACAGCAGAGAAGCTGTACGAATGTGTGGACTGTGGAAATTCAGCCAGAGGCCAAGCCTGTGTACGCATGAGAGGACCCACATGGGCAAGAGGCTCTACCTGTGTGTCAAGTGCGAGAAGAGCTTCCAGAACATCTCCAACCTGAAGTCACACTGAAGTGCCCATTCCAAAGTGCCCATTCCAAAGTGCTTGCAGGTGCTCGGAGTGTGGGAAAAGCTTCCTGGGGAGTTTGGATCTTAGCAGACATCAGAGATTCCACACAGGAGAGAGCTCACGAGCAGCCCAATTATTTGGAAAACTTATTTTAAATAAACAGTGGTTTTGCACAGTGCTGGCTTTGTTCACTGTTGGCTGTTGACTGGCGTATGTGGGTGTTGGTGCATGGCATTATGGGACGCCATCATTATAAAACGGTGCTGTAGCTCTAGGTTCAAGCAAAAGGGCTGAAACGAAAGGTTTGGCTGATACAGGGGTCTGCAACCTTTAAGACAAAAAGAGCCACTTGGACCCGTTTCCGAAAAAACAACAACAACTGGGAGCCGCAAAAACATTGCAACATTTAAAACAAATATAACACTACATATATTGTTTCTGGCCTTAATGCTATATATACAGGATCGTGCAGTCAGCTGTCAATCTCAAGAAAAAAGGACAAATTAATAGCTAATTAAAATATTTAATTTACAACCAGGTAACCAGGTTAATGGGACTTTTGCTCCTGAACCTCAGTGCTCAGTGTCTGCACATCAGGGCTGTAAGACGTCACCTTCATTTTCACACAGGCTTGCAAGCTGTCATCTGTGATGCGTGATCAGTGCTTGTTTTTAATATAGTTCATGTTGGAGAAGACCTGCTCACATACATATGTGGAAGAGACCACAAGGGCCATCGAGTCCAACCCCCTGCCAAGCAGGAAACACCATCAGAGCACTCCTGACATATGGTTGTCAAGCCTCTGCTTAAAGACCTCCAAATAAGGAGACTCCACCACACTCCTTGGCAGCAATTCACCAAACTTTCACCTGCTTAAGTTTAAAAAGGGGCTTCAAGCAACTAAAAAGGGGCTTCAGGCAACTAACTCCACGTGGAATTCCACGCGACCGCGACTGCATAATCAATGCCACAAAATGCCAAAGAAAATTAACCAGGGCCCCAGTGAACCATAAATCATAATCAGTGCCTGATGTAAATAATAATTAATAATGAGGGCCCAATGTCATCCTCATCATTATAAAAATAATCCCTCTCTTCGTGCCGCCCAGCCTCCCAAGAAAAAAACCCCACTTCAAACGGTCACAAAGCACAAATTCCACGCGACCGCGACTTGCTATGCCCAATAATCAATGCCCCAAAATGCCATAGAAATTAATCAGGGCCCCAGTGTACCATAAATCATAATCAGTGCCTGATGTAAATAATAATTAATAATGAGGCATTCGTCATTATAAAAATACCGTATTTTTCGCCCCATAGGACGCTCCGTCCCATAGGACGCACCTAGTTTTTTGGGGGGGAAATAAAGGGGAAAAAATTTCCCCCCCAAAAGCAGGTCGGGGAAACTGAACCAGGTCGAGGAACAGCGGGATGGCGGCGCTTCGCCTCCCTGCTGTCCCCCGAGCTTGTGGGGCTGGCCGATGCCTGCGGGGCGGCAGGCTGCTATCCGCAGCGTGGGGAGCCTTGCCGGGAAGTCCGGCAAGGCTCCCCACGCTGCGGATGTCTGCCTGGCAAGGGGGGCGCTCTGCTTTAGGGCGCCCCGCCCGCCGGGCAGCAGGCTGCTATCCGCAGGGTGGGAAGCCTTGCCGGGACCTCCGGCAAGGCTCCCCACGCTGCGGATGTCTGCCTGGCGAGGGGGGCGCTCTGCTTTAGGGCGCCCCGCCCGCCGGGCAGCAGGCTGCTATCCGCAGCGTGGGAAGCCTTGCCGGGACCTCCGGCAAGGCTCCCCACGCTGCGGATGTCTGCCTGGCGAGGGGGGCGCTCTTCTTTACGGCGCCCCGCCCGCCGGGCGGCAGGCTGCTATCCGCAGCGTGGGGAGCCTTGCCGGGACCTCCGGCAAGGCTCCCCACGCTGCGGATGTCTGCCTGGCGAGGGGGGCGCTCTTCTTTACGGCGCCCCGCCCGCCGGGCGGCAGGCTGCTATCCGCAGCGTGGGGAGCCTTGCCGGGACCTCCGGCAAGGCTCCCCACGCTGCGGATGTCTGCCTGGCGAGGGGGGCGCTCTGCTTTACGGCGCCCCGCCCGCCGGGCGGCAGGCTGGTCACCTCCGCCCCTCGCCTCCGCCCCTCGCCTCCTCCCCTCGCCACCGCCCCGGAGCCGCAGCAAAGGCTTTAAAGAGCCGCATGCGGCTCTGGAGCCGCAGGTTGCCGACCCCCGGGCTGATAGGTCCACTCTCCTTGCCTCTACAGCTTCCAGTGTTCTTCTCTCACACTCATTTCACCCCCCTTCTCAGACAATTCTTTCTTGGTTTCCTCTGGACCAAGGATGGGGAACCTGCAGCCCTGCATACATTGTTTTATTATTATTATTATGGAACATAATATACCGTATTTTTCGCTCTATAGGACGCACCGGACAATAGGATGCACCTTGTTTTAGAGGGGGGAAAACAAGAGAAAAAAATTCTCCCCCTCTCTGCCCAGCGCCCCTTCAGCGAAGCGGCAGGAGGCGCTGCGCAGAGAGGGGGAGAATTTTCCTCCTCTTGTTTTCCCCCTCTAAAACAAGGTGCCGTTTAAGGTGCGTTCAGTTGCCTTCAGGCGGCTACCTTGGAAGCCTGGAGAGCGAGAGGGGTCGGTGCACACTGACCCCTCTCGCTCTCCAGGCTTCAGGTTCCTTTCGACCTGCTCTTTGGGGCTGGCAGGGGGAAGCCCACCACCAGCCCCAAAGAGCAGGTCGGGGAGCAGGGAAAGGCGCGCAGCGGAGAGGCTCCTGCCATAGTCGCGCGTCACCTCTCCAGCTGGGAGAGGGTCGCGGGGCTATGGCTTCTTTAGCCCCGCGCTCGCTCTCCCGGCTGGAGAGGTGGCGCGCAGCGGAGAGGCTCCTGCCATAGCCGCGCGTCACCTCTCCAGCCGGGAGAGGGTCGCGGGGGGCTGCTTTAGCCGTGCGCTCGCTCTCCCAGCTGGAGAGGTGGCGCGCAGCGGAGAGGCTCCTGCCATAGCCGCGTGTCACCTCTCCAGCCGGGAGAGGGTCGCGGGGGCTGCTTTAGCCGTGTGCGCGCTCTCCCGGCTGGAGAGGTGGTGCACGGCTATAGAGGCTCCTGCCATAGTCGCGCGTCACCTCTCCAGCTGGGAGAGGGTCACGGGGGGCTGCTTTATCCCCACGCACGCTCTCCCGGCTGGAGAGGTGGTGCACGGCTATAGAGGCTCCTGCCATAGCCGCACGTCACCTCTCCAGCCGGGAGAGGGTCGCGGGGCTATGGCTTCTTCGCTGCATAGGATGCACACACATTTCCCCTTCATTTTTGAAGGGGAAAAAGTGCGTCCTATAGAGTGAAAAATACGGTATTTATATCACACCCTTTTCTTCAGGGATATCAAGCTAGCATACATGGTTCCCCCTCCCCTGCTCATTTAAAACCTGCATATCGTTGCTAACATATGGACTGTGATTCTTTTTTCTAATGAAACAAAGTTTTCTTCTTTTTAAAACATTTGGAACCGTTCCCCCCCCTTTACTTTTACTCCCAACGGATGGAGACTTGTTTACTGTAACAGCCAAAACTCTGAAAGTGAGATATTCCCTTATTTGAAAGTAAAACCTTACACTTATTTACAAAGCTAAGTGTCTGTGATTTATTCTAAGTATTTTCATGGGCAACGTTTAAAGGCGGATGAGGGCAGATGTAAAATCTCATCCAAGTTGTAATGTACTTGGAGCAATCAGCCATTGTGCCAACTCTGCTACGAGAGAGTAATTATCTTTCTCAAACCTCTTTCTCCAACAGTTAGGAGACCCTGCCTAGTGCCCTCTCAGAACTGCCATTCCAAAGTTGCTTAACATCAGTCCCACTTCTCAGGGAACTGCAGGGCTTCACCTACATATGTTTTTTACAGGAAGCAAAATATCAGTGTACTTGTGCATGTGATCTTGCAAAACTTCTGCTTGTTTGTGTGACAGAGATCTTACAAAATATCTGCCCTTGTGTGCCCATACACCGGGCCAGGCTCGGGTGGCACTGTGGTCTAAACCACTGAGCCTCTTGGGTTTGCCGATCAGAAGGTTGGCAGTTCAAATCCCTGCGATGGAGTGAGCTCCCGTTGCTCTTCTGCCAACCTAGCAGTTCAAAAGCATGCCAGTACAAGTAGATAAATAGGTACCGCTGCGGCGGGAAGGTAAATGGTGTTTCCATGCACTCTGACACTCATCGCGGTCCTCCGTGCGTCAGTAGTGGTTTAGTCATGCTGGCCACATGACCCGGAAAGCTGTCTGCAGACAAACATCGGCTCCCTCAGCCTGAAAGCGAGATGAGCGCCGCATCCCCATAGCTGGATTTGACTGGACTTAACCATCTAGGGGTCCTTTACCTTTTACCTTACACAGGACCAGCTATATTCCAAGATCTCTCTCTGTCTCTCTCACACACAAACATGGGCAGATATTTTGCAACATCATGTGTGGTGTGCACACACGTTAAAACCTTGCTGTTAAAATCTAGAAGACAGTTTCTAGGAAGGGATGGGAAAGATCTGAATGCCCACCGGCTGCATTCTGAGACTGTCCCTTTCAGGGCAGAAAGCGAGTCCAATGTTTTAATTCCAGGAGCTGGGGCGAAGGGGAGAGAGGTTCAAGGGGGCACATTTGGGCCTCAAGCCTGAGGTTCCTACCCCTGATTTAAAATCCCTAGATGGACAGAAAGCTGTGTGTTTTAAGAATGGCAGAACAGGCAAAAAGTTAATTGTTCATACAGGCACAAGTCAGGAAAAATGAAATATGTTCCCATGGTGGTGTGGCCAAAGGGAAAATGGGCAGAGCAAGAAATGCAATTATTACCGTTGCACAATAAGGGAGTTCAATTATCATCATCATCAAAAATTATTATTTATGTTGCCCACCTGATAAGGTTACCCCAGCTACTCTGGGCAGCAGCTTCCAATAAATTAAAAACATTCTATTTGTTCCAACCTGCACTGGCAAAGCCGGGAGAAGGTCAGGATGATGATGCTGGTAATGATGATATAAAATGAAAATGAATAGTTGTGTAGCCTTATGAGGCTTTGCCCTCGGGTGGGAAAAATATTGCGCCTGGGAAAGGGAGTCAACAGACACTCAAGGAATAGTTTCGGAGAAAAGGCTTTTATTTCTACCATCCATGAACTGGTAGAAGGAGCAAGTGTGATAGT